GTGGTACCTGGCCCTGAAGGCCACCAGGTGAGCGTAGTAGGCGGGCGCGGGGATGGAGACGGAGCGCGTGCAGCGCACGTAGGTGTGGCACAGCTGGTAGGTCAGCAGCTGCAGCTCGTCCGCCGTGAAGCAGTTGTCATCCCACAACACCTGGTAGTGGGAGGGACGGCTGGTTCCCTGCGGGGACAGGGCACACTCAGCTGCAGGACACCACCAGCAGCGGAGTGGGCACCGCGCAGCGAGTGCCACGTGGGCACCGGTAACTCCGAGCCCGCCGAGCCCAACCCAAGAGACACTATTCAAAGGGACGACGACAGGGATTCAGTCCCACAGCCTCAGTGCAGCTGAGATTACCTGAATTCCTGCATGGCTACAGAGGTAAAAGTCAAATTCCGAGGGATGTGTGATGGTGCTGTCCACAGTAGTCCCTGCTGGTACGTTGCCGCTCTTACCCACCTGTCGAGGAGAGGTTATTATTAGCCCACAGGGTTTTTGGAGGTGACCCAAAAATACCTCCTAAGGTGGAATCCGCTGAAAGCTGCTGGAGAATTCACTGCTCAAAAAGGTGGAAAAATATGAAGGTCGTTTACATAGGAGGAATGAAAATGTTCTCTGTGGGTCCATTTTTAGCAGCACCACCAAATCCAGCTGGTGTGTCATCAGGGGGAAACAAAATCCTTGGCAGCCCCAGTAAAACTGCAGAGTGGGATAAAGCCTACACGAATCACTCAGCATCTGACAGCGCAGGGCTCTGAAATAGACTCATTGCATACCCTTGTTTGCACTCACACCCTGCAGATCTGGGTTTAAGCAAACCCGAGCTCAGGAGCTTCCCCAAGGAAGGTTCCTCAGCTGACCTGCGGATGGATTCGTGCCACAGACACACCTTGGACGCACCTGGAGACACACCAGGGAGCAGAGTGCACAGCTAGGTCAGCTCACACTCAGCAATCCTGACCTCTAACACCCCAGGCCATGGCTCCAGGTACACGGACACTGGGATACAGAGCAGACCTGTTCCAAATGGGGCTGGGAACAAGCTGTTCCACCTGATGCAGAGCAGTAAAAAGGGGAGGAACTGGTTCTTTTGGTAGAGAAAGGCTGTTACCACCCAGAGCTGCTGCAGCTTGTACAGCCTTTGTGGGCCAGATCCCAACCCCCCGGCCCAGACCATCCCACTTCCTGTGCCACCACCTCCCCCACAGGAGTCAGCACTTGCCCTCTCGGTTTTGTCAGCACAGAAGAGCCTGGTGTGGTGCCTCTTCTGCACCACGATGTAGGTTATTCCTGGTCTGTAGTCCTCCTCCAAACTGATGCAGGCCTTCCTGATGGCGATCAGCTCGGGCCAGGCCACCTGCAGATGCAGGAGCTAAGTGTTAGCTGCTGACTTCAGCAGGTTATGTTCCTACCTTCATTTTCTCCCTCTGTGCAAACGCCACATCACAAGGAACACGACCAGGCAGCAAAACTGCACGTTGTGCTTGCCCAGGAAAACTCAAACTTCACTTTTCCAATAACAAATACAACCCATGTATATTTTTCTCCTTTCAAGGACCAATCCTTGGTAACCTACACAAATACATGTAACTCCCAAGGGCCAATCCCTTCCCACAAGCAACCGGCAGCGATCAGGCAGTACCTGTTTCATCTGTCCTTCCGACACTCCCCCTCTGTAGTAGATGATCCTGGTGGGCTTGAAGCGTGTGGATTTGTAGAACTGGATCAGGAGCTCCCTCACCATGTTGGTGAGGTCCTGGATGACCTCCTGGCTGTAGAGCAGCTCCTGGGAGGTCTCCTGGCGCGAGGTCTGCACGCGCACCGTGGCGCAGTAGCGGCTGGGGTGCCCGTCCATGCTGCCCACCACGGCCGCGATCGACGGCTTCTTCCCGTCCCCGGCTGGAGGGTGGGTCACGTCTGCCCCCAGGAAGATCACTGGCTGCTGGAACACCGAGGGCCTGTTGGGTCAGGGTGAGGTTTGCCCGTTAGAACAGTGGAGCTGTGGAATGACTGGGTCGGAAGGAGCACTATGGATCGAGCCTCACCTTTGATGAGGTACCAGCACGTTGTTGATCCCTCCAAGCTTCGCGTTGATCTTCAGACACAGGTTGGACAGTGTCTGTGGTGAGGTTTTGACCACATTCTTTACCTGCACACACTGTGTGGCCATGCCTAGAAGAGTGTCTCCAACCCGCTTGACTTCAGCTGTGATGGAAGAACAAGTCATGGTTTCAATCACCTCATCTGCTTCTCCTATTTGACTTTTGCCAAATGCCACTGTAATTCAGATCCTTAAAGCTTCACCGACGAAGTGACGAGGTTCAGTTCACGCCTGACAAACCAGCTCAAACCCCTTTTGGAGCAGAACCCACTGCCTGCTCTGCCACCCACCAACTCGCTGGCCCTTCCAGCCCTTGTCCGTACCGTACACGGGTGTCTTCCCAGGCAGGATCACCACGATGAGCTGCAGCCCCACGTAGGTCAGCTTCAGGTGCTTGAACATGGGCTCCACGCTGTCTGCCCCTTGGGCATACTTGCAGAAGCAGGGCTGGCCCTGGATGGGCATCCCAGCGTCCTTGGAGATCTTGCGCAGTTGGTCGGTGAAACTCCTGCAACGGGGATGGATCGGTCCTGCCCTTTCACCGCGGCTCGCTTCGCCATCGGTTTTAGCAACAAGAGCTAAGCTGCCTCTGCTGTTTCACAGCACTACAGTAATTATTCTTCAGCAATTCTATCCCCATCAGGAACTCACTAATACAACTCTAATCCTCTCCGAGGAAGTTCATAAGCTTCTGTTTCTGTAATTGTACGAGTCTTACAGAAACAAACGCGTGTTCGAGCTGAACATCCTGAGGCAAATTCCCAGACTAACACTGATGCTCTGGTACATTTTTACTCATCCACCAGACTTATCTAAGCATTACTGCAGCCGTGACTTTAGCCAAACAATTGGTGATGCACACAAACTCTGTCTCTTGGATTCCGTAGGGTGATTCGAAGGACAAACATGGTATAAGTTGGTTTTACTACTAGGTACACTAAAATCAACTTATGCTGCACATCACCTTTCAGAAACACGAGGAAAAGGAACCCTGAAATGGAATCCTGAGTAAATAGGAAAACACTTACTTCAGCAAGTCTTCCCTGCATTGTTTCTGAGGAGCAAAACAGGCCACAGCCCAGACTTTAATCTCAATGCCGGCGTAGAACTGTTTCCCCCTCATGTCCCACACGCCTTGGTTTGGTGTGGCCACAGTCTTGTTCTAGGCAAAAAACAAAGGCAGATTGAAGCCAAAGTGCTGCTCCGTGGTGACTGCAGCCCAGCAGTGCCCACACAGAGGAAAGCTCGTGGGGAGAGGCACAGAACACCTGGTTCTGTGTCGCAGGTGTCTCAGGCCGTGGAACTCACCCTGCCTCCATACTGCAGCATTGGGGCTGGCAGCACTCTGCCTGTCAGCTCTGTCATTTCGTTATGGACAACAATGCCAAACTCCTTCAGGTACGGGTCAGGGCCACCCACCATGCTGTTGCTCTTCACCTGGGGACAAGACAAATATCGGTGTCGCTATGCTCAAGTTTCAGGATTTCTGCCTAAGAGGATTTGATACAAACAAGTCATATTTTTTCCTCCTCCCTTGCTCATTCCACTCATCCTCCCCAGCTGCAGAGCTCTGGGAGAGCCACGAGGAGAAAGAGGGACTGTGCAGCTGGAAAAGCACTCACCAGTCTGCTGATCTCCTCCTGCCTGTCCGGGGCAGACCTGGCTGTCGCTTTGATCATGGTCGAAGTCTGATTGTCCGTGAGCTTCTTGATGCATCTCTGGCCTGCCACGATGTTACACACCTGCACAGGAGCAGGGACAGTGCTGGGACACCATTCAGCAGAGGACAGAGCACAGGGCAAGAGTCAGAGCCTCACCTCCAGGGGCAGGTACGTGTGCTTCTGCTCCTGCCCCACCTGCAGGCAGGGCAGGTGAGGGTATTTCAGCTGCAGGCTGTACTTCTGCTTGAAGTACTGAGCCACCGTGCACTCCATGGCCTGCCCATTCTCCAGCTGCAGAGGGAACCTAGGAAGGACATTGGCTCTGGTTAGACTTTGCAATATTCTTTTTTATAAGAAAAAATGCTATGGAAAACCTATTCCAGACTAGAAATGCTGCAAGCATTTATTTTCCTTAGATACTGGAAAGAGAAAAGGGGAAGGAGGAGAGGGGGAAGGGGAACGCTGTCAGAAGGGGCTGCACACGTACGTCTGGTGACTCGCCGGTCGCCGTGTAACGTTGCAAACTCGGTATTTCCTCTTCATCTGGCCACAGTGGGTAACCTCCACCTTGAGACCTGAAAGCACATTCAGGCACAGGAATCACCTCTGAGCAGGACGAAGGCACAAAGTCCTTGCAAGCAGAGCAGGGGGCAGTGTTTTCTGGCAGCAGCTCTAGGACAAGCCTCTCTTTACCTCTGATTTCTTTGGTAAACTTGACGCGCTGGGAGTCTGTCAGAGGTTTGCTCTGCTCACTGATGTTCTGGATGTCCAAGACCTCACACATGAACTCAATGATAGGCTGGGCACGATAGAAAGCAGTTGCTGACACTAAGATGAGAAGAGAGGACCGTTAAGTGAGAAGCAGAAGAAGCTCTGCTACATGGGGGGGACAGAATCTCCTACCCACCGTCGATGTTGAGCATCATGTTCCACATGGCAGGTCGGACCGACTGGTGGAACCCGAACCAGACCTCCCTGCCCCCTCCCAGGGGGTGGTAGTAGCCTTCAGGGGGGGAGAAGAAGGAGCGACCCACAGGGGTGTACCTGGAAAAAATGACAACAGTAGTGCTGTGATCATTTCTCACCCATCACCTTTCCACACTGACACCTGTAGTGCTTAAAACACACCTCTGCAGCACCTCAGAGCTGTCAGAGCTCACTTATGGCAAGCACACAAAGCCTCTTCTGACAGTGCAGCTGGAAGGGCTACAGCAAATTCCAGCGAGAAACATGACCAGCAGACACCAGGACGGAGTTCAGATCACATTTCCCTATTCTAGTGCAAATTTGTGATGCAGGGTTTGGATTACACAGCTGAAGCCCTGTCCCTTCTGCCACGGGGAGGTGTAACCGCAGCAGAGCAGAGTGAGGAACAGCAGGAACAAATGTCAGGGCAGACAGAGGATGAATCCAGCCAGCAAGGACTCACCTCATGGAGGGAAGGTGCCGTGTGATCACATCCAGTGCCTGTACAGAATCTTCAGGAACTTCATTCAAGTGTCCTGCCAGAGCTTCCAGCAGCATCTGAAGGCTGACGACCGACACCCACTGAATGGAAACCTTGAACGTCTGGTCCTTCCCCTCTCCTGGAAGTGTCACCTCCATATCCACCTGCCACGGGCACCACAGAATCGAGCACAGGTTTTGTTATGGACAGCACTCACCACTGGGACAGCTTTCCCCAAAGAGTCCTTTGAATCTGTATGTTTGATTATGAGTTTGTGTAACGACCTTAAAATAATACAGTTGGTTTCCTCAGGACGTTGAAAGTTTGTCATTTATTCAACTGAGAAACTGCACTGAAGTATCTTTAAATGTAAATTTTAGGCAGTAATTAGGAGGGTGACATCAAAGCTCTGGAGAACGGTGAGTCATTTTTTAAGTCAGCCAATTAATAGCAAGATCTTCTGTGATCCAAATGGGAAGGCAAGAAAACCTCTGGGACAACAAGGAGCCTCAGTGGGAAACACGTATCTCAGAGCCGTGGCACAGCAGTGGGATGAGCCTCACACCCTGTCAGCCCAGAGAGCAACTGTGAACTCATCCTGTGTGCTCCCCATGGCACAGCAACAGCCACATCCTTGGGGCACCAGGGCCCAGTACACCAGGGCAGGAGCAGCTGGAGTGGAACAGCAGGAGAGTCTGCCCAGCACAGCCAGGCCCAACCAGAGCCACTGTCCTCTACAGGGACTTCATCAGTCAGCAACACAACACGGGTCAGAGCAGGGAAAAGGGAAGTTTCCATCAGGGTGACAAAAATATAATCTACTTGCAGCTGAAGGGACAGAGCATGTTAGTGCTCACTCACTGACAGGAAATCACAAACCTGAGGAGCGCAAACTTCTGTGAAACACCAGTTAGTTCCCAGAGCTCCTGACTGGCCCTGCCTGTCACTTCTGAGACCACGCCAACGTGCGTGACAGTGTTTTGGGTTTATATCAGTTGGTTTTCAAATGACACTCTTAACAGATTTTGCACAGAAACTTTTGCTTCTAGTCACACTCACCCTGTCCCTGCCGATGGGTAACGGGTGTGCCGTGTACATGTTCCTCTTCCCATCATACCCGGGCTGCCGATCCCCAAATATCTGCATCTTGAAGTGCCTCACCATGGTATCCACCACCTCCCTGCCAGGGATTCATGGAGTTAGGGGGAGGACAGAACATCCAGCAAGGGCCTTGCACAGTTTAAACTCCTTTCTCACGTCTTCTCACAGGACAAGGGGTGGAAAGCAGCAGTGCACCAGGTCACAGCAGGAGCTGCACGTGTCACCTCCACGCTGAGACCCCAAGTGTCACCTACAGGTGTCTGTACAGATATCTGTGCTCTCAGCACAGCCACAGCAGGCAGAGGAGCCTGGAGAGCTGTTCCCTCACAGGAGCAGACACAAGGCCCTGCCCTGGGCTGGGTGGGAGCACTTTGTGGGTTGACTCCACTGACAAAGCATCCATGTGTGTTCTCCAAACCTACCAGAATTCCCTCTCCTCAGCTGCCACACACACGTGTGTAACAGCCTGTGGAACAATTATCAGGGACATTCACTTGTGGGCTAAAATAAAACCAGCTGGAGTTGAGTGCTCAGTACATTTCCCAGAGCCTTCCAGATAACAGGCCAACTGCAACACATCTCCACTCAGACAGGAACACCACAGCAAAGCAACTGCTGAGCACACAGAGGCACCAAGAGCCCTTCAGCAGAAGGAATTCCTGGGATGTGCAGGCACACACTCAATGCTCTCCATGGAACTCCTACCTGTTGACTCTTCGGGGCCGTTTCTCTGGTTTGATATCCACATCATAGTGATACACATCAATCTTCGGGATCTGCACCTGGAAGTGGTTGGCCAGGAGGCGAATGGGTTTCCCCACGGTGCCCAGGCCGGGGCGGCGCGGCGGCTGGAAGAGACTCGCTGGGGGCCCTGGGGGAGGCAAACACAGCCCTGTGAGATGGGATGGTCACTCCAGCACCTCCTGCCTGTGTCTGAACGATGTTCTGACAGCGCAGGGAGAAACCTTATGCAGCTTTCCCAGGTGTTCCACAGGCTCAGCCTTCTAGCTGCTTGGAACTCCCAAGGTAAAAAACATGTCCCCTAAGGCATGTACAGGTTGGTGCCATAATTAATGCTGGAAATTGAGTGGCATTTATTCATGACTGTGGTTATGGACTTTACAGAGTGCCAAGGTGGGATGCAACCACTCAGATATCCTGTATTTTCATGGGATGTAAAGATAGATCCATCCCTACCTACATGCCTGGAGCAAACCAACAACCACAGGAGCCACATTTTGTCACTGCTTCACTTAGAGCCTTAAGGTTCAGATGTTAATGATCCCATTTAACATTCCAACACAAAGACAGGAGTGAGGAAAGGTTCAGGCTTTCTTCTACAAAGAAGAGCAAGGGAGAAAGCAAACAGCCAGGTATGGATTCCTCACAGATGTGGAGGGGATAATTTATTTGGACAAAATGAAGAGCTTCAGGAGCAGCTCAAAGGAGGAGATTATTAGTGGCCTGGCATTGTGCTCACTCGTAGGCTGGTCACTAGTGAAGCCCTGAGCTACCTCCCTCAAGGTGCTGGGATGTGAGGTACCATGGTGACAAGGTTAAACTGACTGTTTAAAACCTCTCACAGCCTCAGTGAATGCTGCACACACAGCAAACAGCATTGGTGTCTCTCCAGGGGTTTATCTGCACCTGAGCAGTGCCCAGTGCCACCAGTGTTTCCCCTCTGCTGCAGAGCAGCCAAGGAAAGGGGGAAAAGCATTTCAAGAATGCAATAATAAATCAATCATCAAACTTAGGGTGAATTTGGTATTGTAACCTGACAGTATCCATCTGAGTCAAAGGCTCACTTTGCACCAGGAGGGAGGAGAGGCAGGGAATCCTGTTTGGGTACACCTCAGGCTGTAGCAACAAACTTCAACACAACCCTAAAGTGAATGCAGGGCCAAATCCAAGGAGATTCCACACTGGACTCACAATCCACTGGCCACTGCATCACCAGATAAAATCAGCACCTGAGGACAGCAGCCCTGGAGTCTCTATAAGCAGCAAGAGCAGTGTGTAACAGCAGCCCAAGCCACAGGGGCTGTCAGGGCCCCAGACACCCATGGGACACATCCCTGGCTCCACACCCTCCCCAGGGATCAGAGCAGGGGCACAGAGCTTCAGAGCCCCTGAGGGCAATCAAAGTTTGCTGTGCGTGTTTGGACACTGGAGATGATCCATTAATCCCACGCTAATTAATCTGAAGGAAGTGCAGGCACTGACCTCCTGCCAGAGATTAAATGACAACTATATTTACCCATTTTCCTGCCTCGGTATTGACAAGTTCTGCAAACAGGGACAGCAACACTGCCCTGGGTGCTGACCAACGGAGAGAAAACTCACATCTCCTCCTTGCTAGGGTTGTATCTCGCAGGATTGCAGAGAATCAGCTACAAACTGCTTCCCATGTGAAGCCAGGCTGTCCTGGAGCCAACAGGTTCCCACCTGTTCGGCCTGACAAGGGTTGTGTCAGATTTTAATTGCTTCTGCCCCATGTCGATTACGCACTCAGCACCCCCACGAGTCGCTTCAGACAGGAAGCAGTTCTCAAAACTGAAAGAGGATCTGCTGCTCCAGCTGGAAGTCAGGGAGGCCACCACACACCACACTTGCAGCAGGCACTGAGTCAGCCCTCGCTACCTCAAACTCTGGATTCTTCTGGAATTGCACCTTTGTGTCAATGAGCATCTCCTATCACACCAAAATTAACACCACCGAGATGACACCGACGGTTTGAGTGGGACCTGGGTGGGTTGGGTGTGCTGGCACCGAGGTCAGAGGCACATCCTGCAGGCACTTGATGGAATCAGTTAATCATGGAATAGGAGGTAACGCCACATGCAAAACCCAAAGTTGGTTAAACAAATGACCCACCCTATTTTCACATACTATCACCTCAACGACATCTCAATGTCAAAAATTAAGCTCAGCACAGCAGAGGTTTCAGGGCTGTGCACACCCACAGCCCTGTCTCCCTGTCTCTGTCCTGCTCATGCTGCAGAGGTGAGGCAGGTCCCCAGGCAGCCCTGGCACCAGTGGCACACACAGTCACAGAGAGTCCTGAGCTGGAAGGGACCCCAGGGATCATCAGTCCAACTCCTGCACAGACACCCCAACACTGCACCCTGAGCCTGAGAGCATTGGCCAAACACTCCTGGAGCTCTGTCAGTTTGGGGCTGTGCCCACTGCCCTGGGAGCTGTTCAGTGCCCAAACACCTCTGGGGGAAGAACCTTGTCCTGACATCCAACCTAACCCTGTCCCAGTGCCCAAACACCTCTGGGGGCAGAACCTTGTCCTGATATCCAACCCGACCCTGTCCCAGTGCCCAAACACCTCTGGGGGAAAAAATTTGTCCTGACATCCAACCTAACCCTGTTCAGTGCCCAAACACCTCTGGGGGATGAACCTTGTCCTGATATCCAACCTGACCCTGTCCCAGTGCCCAAACACCTCTGAGGGATGAACCTTGTCCTGATATCCAACCTAGACCTGTCCTAGTGCTCAAACACCTCTGATGGAAGAACCATGTCGTGCTATCCATCCTGACCCTGTCTGAATGCCCAAACACCTCTGGGGGCAAAACCTTGTCCTGATATCCAACCTGACCCCGTCCCAGTGCCCAAACACCTCTGGGGGAAGAACCTTATCCTGCTATCCAACCCGACCCCGTCCCAGCGCCCAAACACCTCTGGGGACGCACCTGTTCGCAGTGCCTGCCCCGCACCTCCCTGACACACGACACCTGTCCCCCGACACCTCACCCTCCGCGCAAAGTTTCCCGACCGGCGCTGGCTCCCCGGCCCGGTCGGCGCGGCCT